GATCAAAAGAAGGCAGATTTCCCATAGTAAAAGGAGCTCATGGGGAGCAAAGGAGGCCTTCTAACGAAATGCCTGGCTTCAAGACAAACCCCAAGTACCATCATAAATGAGCTTCACAGAACAGGAAGTATCCCTACATCACCTTAAACTGTAGAGTGGACAGAAAGGACCAATGTGTCTTCAAAGCACAAGCAGCTTAGTGTTCTGGAAACTGAATCTATGCTCCTGACACAACAGAACAGCCTAATACTTTACTTGCTAGGTTGTTGAATGAAACAAACTACCACAGGAAGATCCAATGCCAGGGATTTATGTCAATGCACAAGTGCTTCCAGGGCCCGGAGAGGGGAGCACCAGTTCAGTCACCCAGAGGGAGGAGGAAGGAGGCCACCAATGCTCCATAGGAGGAGCAGTGCAGGTTTCCTCATCGGAGTGCTCCAGCCCACCAGCCCTCAGTGTGCCCCCTGCATCCCTTTACTTTGTCCCTAAATAATCTTAAGTCTCTACCCCAAAAAGTCCCGGAGATAAAAGGTAAATAAGAAAACCAGAGATCCTGCTATTGTTGCTAACTTACCTCAGCACAATTGACAAAATACTGGCATTCGATCTGTCCTTTATCAGTCTCCACGCCAGTGACTTCACCTTTTTTGATCATCACGTGAACAACACTTGTCCGGTCATAGATCTGTACACCTGTTCAAGGTAAAGAGTTGGGCATCGATCCTCAGATGGTCCACAATTAAGGCAGCTGCAGCAGATTCTCAACTCATAAGAAATACTGAAAAGGCCAGGTCAAAGCTTTAATTTTAAAAAACAAAACACCCCTAAGGACCACACCCTGAGACTGTAAATGAGACTTTCCCCAGGTTAAAAATGGCAGGCAAATTTAATAAGGGACTTTAGTGCACAGTTCAATTCCAGGAATCATAAAAGGGGCAGGGGAGAAAAGTTCAAATAGGACAGCTTACATCCTATCTACCCACATGATGAATCAGTTCATTCAAATTGCACAACTCCATGGACACTGAGGTGTCCTCCCTTGTTCACTCAAACCCGGGACATGATCCAAGCTGTGGATTAAATCCCCAAGGTGTGTACTAACCTTGGAGCCTCTCAGTTCAGGAGGGGAAGGAGTCCCTGAAGTCTGAAGGGTACTAAGCACACTGAATGTCTAGTTGGAGAACTGAAAGTTCAGAGATTGGTGTTTAAATATAGTATGTTTACCAGAGTAGTCCAATGACGTGTGGCTAACACAGCCTGAATTTCAGAAAAAGGTTCAGAAGTCATTTTCTACTCACTACCATAGATTACATAGAGCAGAGTACCACTGCACATATGTTCCTTTTATCCCACTAAATTTTTTATAAATGAATGATCACTGACTTGGAAAAACAATTCAACTCCCTGAATCTAGGTTTCTTCAGCTGTAAAAGAATGACCCTTATTATAAGATCAAGGACTATATGGAATACTTTCCAAAGATTATAAAAGCCATTACGTTACCTCTCATTCACTTGACAAAAGTCACACTGAGATTGAAGCACTGCCCACACTAACATCACAGTCGGGGATGAGGACTCGGGGTCATCTGCTGAGTCTGATTAGCAGGTAGTGAACGAACATCTCGCGTAAATGGACTGTTTTCAGAGGAGAAGCAGATAATATCTCCCCTTAAATCTAGGTGCACGTATGTCACTTCCTTCTTATTTCATGACCCACCAGCAGTCCATGAGTGAAGTGACCATGGCAGGCACCTGCACAACGCGGGACAGGCGGCCTCTCCTCCCTCCTCGGGGCCCTGTCACCTTTCCCTGCACCACTGGTGAACAACCACAGGCGTGAGACTGAGGCTGGTCCCCTTCTCTCGCTCGCCTGGCTTCCTCACTGCCCACAAGTACCAAGGAGAAGTCGCGCCTACAAGGTTCCAGATGGTGATCCAGAAAGCAAGCTAAGCTCACTCACTTTACAGAAAAGAACCTGTAACCCTGATTCCTGTGGAATCGCACCACCTGAGTGATGCAAGGCCGGGCAATGCACTAGTATCTGGCCCAATGGAACAGGAGCCTATTATGTGGACCCTATTCTGACTCAAACCCAGTTAATGTCTGATTCAAGTACCTGTTGCCATCATTAAACCCAACGAAGGGACTGCTTCCTGCCTGTCCTGCCTGTAGCAGCATCTTCCCTAGTAAAAGCCAGAGACTGTGCGGCAGCAGGAAGCACTTTTACCACGTTCACTGGAGAGCCCTGCCCTTCAACAGGAGGCCTGGCCAAGGGCAATGACACCATGGGGTCCCGGCGCCCGGGGCACATCGTGTGAGGGGCACCCACTCAGTGCTGACTGCAGGGTCACCCAGGATGCAGACTGGTCTCACCCAGGCCTGGCCCTGCCATGTGCCCGAGAATACACAGCCTCTTCTTCCAGGCCTCTGGATCCTCTCCTGGCATCTCTCTCCTTCCACGGCTATCAAATCCTAGTTACTAGACAATCAGTCTTCCTCTACAATTTACAAATGAGGTTACACTTCTTGACAGTATGAACTATATAAAATGGAAATGTGATAAACCCTTACTTGTGATCAAAATTTCAAATCTCGCCCTGACCGGTTTGGCTCAGGGGATAGAGCATCGGCCTGCGGACTGAAGGGTCCCAGGTTCCATTCTGGTCAAGAGCATGTACCTTGGTTGCGGGCACATCCCCAGTGGGGGGTGTGCAGGAGGCAGCTGATCAATGTTTCTCTCTCATTGATGTTTCTAACTCTCTATCCCTCTCCCTTTCTCTCTGTAAAAAAATCAATAAAATATATTTTTAAAAAAATTTCAAATCTCCCTTTCCCTAATGAAAATGTTGTCAGCGGTCACATGATTTCTAAAAGGGCTGGCGAGGTAAACCACGCACTGTGCTTAGACTCTTGTTTGAATAGTCTGCTACTGATCACATTGCAGAGCCACTGCAGCTGGCAAAAGACAAAGCTACCACCCCCTGTCAGGATTAGTCTCGAATTATCTGATTCATTTTATGCAATGTCTTCAAAAGAACGACCCTGACATAGGCAAGTGTCTGGAATTTCATCACTGGGCCTCGATACCCACTCACGATGATTAGTGCGCTCACCACATTCTCATCAGCCACCAGAGCAGGCTCCAGGCTGGGCTTCTGCTAATCCGTCACCTTACAACAAACTGACAGCCATTCTTTCTGCCTTCGATCGTACGGGACCATCGTGTAGATGGGTCCTCCTCTTCCTGGGACAGTTCCTACTCACTCCAGAGCTAGCTAGCTAGTCCTTCTCTCCAAGTTACACAGGTAAGGAGAAACGTGTGAATGCTGTAGTCAGGAACATCCTTACTAGTGACTGGTACTTCAATGGGTCAAACTCTGATTTAGCTTCCAAGCACCTAACTTAAATTCCTCCTCCTCCTCCTCCTGTAGGAACCAATGCTGCCACTTACTACACTTCAACAAGTGAAATATAAAGGAAATGGCCCAGGAAAACCTTAATATCATAAGAATTATACCATCTGAAAAGGGTCTGGAATGATGATTCAATCTCCTCATTTTAAAAACAGGGAAACAAAGCTTGGCCGGCGTGGCTCAGTGGTTGATCATTCAACCCATGAACCAGGAGGTCAAGGTTCAATTCCTGGTCTCGGCACATGCCAGGGTTGTGGGTTTAATCCCTAGTAGGGAGTGTGCAGGAGGCAGCCAATCAGTGATTCTCTCTCATCATTGATGTTTCTTTCTCTCCCTCTCTGAAATCAATAAAAACATTTTTAAAATAAAATAAAAATAGGGAAACAAAGACGGCTCAAAAGCAAAATGACTTGCCCAAAGTAATACTCTGACTAGTGGCAGAGCCCAAACTACAACTCAGGTCTGAATGACCACTCACCAGGCCAACTTCTGTGGGACCACACACAGTCCCAGCAACAGAGTCTGGGGACAGGCACAGCAGTAAATGGCAGACCCCTGCTTACCTGTTTGGATCCCTGTTTCTTGCTCCAGCTGCTGGTACAGTTTGTTTGAATAGTCTGCCATCTTCTGCTCAATGCCCAAGTGCCTGGCAGTGCTTATGATGCCTGCACAGAACCTCGTAGAGCCAGCAGCCAGCCTGCAGGATGGATTGCAAGGCTGTTAGGTGGACTCATACCTGTGAATGCAGCCAGTTCAAGTCCCAGCTACAGCACTGTTCTGTCTGTCGAAAGATGGAAACACCTACATGTCCGTCAACATGACACTGATTTCAAATTTTGGAGTTCACCTACACAGTGGAATACTATACAGCCATGAAAAAGGAATGAGAGCCTGGTTTGGCTCAGTGGAGAGTCAGCCTGCAGACCAAAAGGTTCCGGGTTCAATTCCGGTCAAGGGCAGGTACCTTGGTTGCAGGCTCCTCCCCAGCCTGGGGTCCTGGTGCAGGAGGCAACCAATTGATGTATCTCTCTCACATAGATGTTTCTCTCTGTCTTTCCCTCTCTTCCACTCTCCCTAAAATCAATGGAAAAATGCCCTTAACTGAAGATCAACAACAACAACCAAAAAATTAAAAACATTTTTTTAAAAAAGGGAATGAGAAAGTTTATATGCTACAATGTGGAATAATCCTATTGAGAAAAGCAAGGCAAGGAACAGTAAGGAATGCTACCGCTTGTATAAATAAATGAATGAACACCCATTTACACCAGTACATACTGACGAACACACGTCTGTTTCTATGTGGAGAGAGCATCTGGATCAATACACCAGGAACTTAACTTGCCTTCAGCAAGGGAAACTTGAGCCCAGAGGTCAGAGATAGGGGAGAAATTTTCCCTGGACACTTCTAGAATTTTCTATTCTTTTTTTTTTTTAAATATTTTTTATTTCTTGAAGTATTACAGAGTATTACATATGTCTCCTTTTTTCCCCCCTTTGACATTCCCCCGGCCTCCCCTACCCCCTAGTGTCTTGTGTCCATTGGTTATTCTTATATGCATGCATGTAAGTCCTTCGGTTGATCTCTCTCTTTTTTTAAAAAAAATATATTTTATTGATTTTTTACAGAGAGGAAGGGAGAGGGATAGAGAGTTAGAAACATCGATGAGAGAGAAACATCGATCAGCTGCCTCCTGCACACTCCCCACTGGGGATGTGCCCGCAACTGAGGTACATGCCCTTGACCGGAATCGAACCTGGGACCCTTGAGTCCGCAGGCCGACGCTCTATCCACTGAGCCAAACCGGTCAGGGCTTCGGTTGATCTCTTAACCACGCCCCCCAAAACACTCCCCAGGCTTCCCACTGTAGTTTGACAGTCTGTTCAATGCTGCTCTGCCTCTGCATCTACCCGTTCATCAGTCTATACTGGTCCCCATTATCCGTTTCAACCTCACCAGGGCCGTCCCAACCTCACTGGGGCCATCCCAACCTCACCGGGGCCGTTTCGGCCTAGAATTTTCTATTCTGACTCATGTGAATCTACTGCCTTTCAAGAAATAATAAATTCCTTTAAATCTCCAATTTGTTATAGGCAAAAGCCTGAAACAGATAAGAACACTAGTGGGAAAATGAAGAATTTCAAAAAATCTATGAACTGCCTGGCTGACGTGGCTCAGTGGTTGAGCATCGACCTGTGAACCAAGAGGTCATGGTTCGATTCCCAGTCAGGGGCTCATGCCCAGGTTGCGGGCTCGAACTCCAGTGTGGGACATGCAGGGAGGCAGCCAATCAATGATTCTCTCTCATCACTGATGTTTCTATCTCTCTCCCTCTTCCTTCCTCTCTGAAATCAATAAAGATATTTTTAAAATACACACAAAATCACTATGAACTATAGTTAACAATAACGTGTCAATATTGGTTCATTAGTGAGACAATAATCTTAATACTGGGATGTTAATAACAAGTAAAACTGGAGGTAAGTTATGGGAGCTTCCTCCTGTCTTCTCAATTGTTCTGTAAATCTAAAACTCTTTCAAAACAAGTTACTTAAATGAAAAACAAAAACAAATAGAGCAGGATGCAGGCAATTTCATTCTGACTCCTAGAGGGAGCTCTTGGCCCCAGGATTTGTGTTGCTGCCTGACTATAAGAAGGAGAACAGATGGCAAGATGTGCTCTGAACGTGAATAAAACGCATGCTTCAGACACTTGGTTTGCGGGACTCTGCCAGCTCTCCAAAACCAGGAAACATGACTTTTAAGCATCACCAAACAAAGCCCAGTACAGGATTTCCACCTGTGATTCTTCTCATGCTCCTAGCAACACTGATTAGCTAGTGGTGAGACAGTATCACCAAAAGGAGGAGGAGAGGGAAGGAGGGAATCATGCCCAGTGGATCCTTACCTGCCCTGCTCCAAAAGGACAATGTCCTTCCACCCCATCTTGGACAGGTGATAGGCCACGGATGTGCCCATGATTCCCCCGCCACAGATGACCACCTGCGCCTGGGCAGGCAGGGCGACAGAATGCGCCTCGGCCGCTGATGCGCCGCTTCTGGCTGAGGGCCAGTTCGCCATCCTCGGCTGGTTCTTTGTCTTTGGACCACCGATAGCAACCGGTAAAACATCACGTCTGTCAGCAATGGGAGGCGTGCACTCACTCAGTCAGGAGGAGTTCCCAAGCACTTGACCTAGACAGAAAAACCAAACATATTTCATTCTACTGTGCTGAGTGCATACGATTCATGAGAAAAAAGGATGAAATAAAAACAATCGTTCATTTAGCAAGTAGGTGAAGACTGACTGAGTCCCATACATTGTGCTAACTTTGATACAGCAGCGAGCAATAGTGAGGAGGTCCCAGCCTTTAGTAACTTACATCTGAGAGAGGATGAGACTGTGTGAGTGTGTATGCGAAAGTGGCGGCAATAAACAAAGTAAGTCACAAAGAGTAACTAATTTTAATACCGTGGTCAGGAAAGAAGGTGACATTGTGAAAAGATGTGATGGACAAAATGGAAGCAGCTACCAGAGTGTTCCAGACAGAGGAACAAGTGTCTAAGGCCCTGATGGGAGACAGACCTTGATGAGCCCAAGCACAGAGAGGAAGCCAGCCTGACCCCAGCGTGAGGAGCAAGGGGGCCAGGATCTAGGAGAAAACTGGAGAGGCAGGCAGAAAGCCACTACACACCGCCCTTGGATGTGGGGATTTTATTCTAAGTGCCCAGGAAAATACTAAAGGAGAGAACGAAATGATCTGATCTACTTTCCAAGATCAGTGTGGCTCCATGGTGGAGACTGGATTGCAGAATGAGAGGAATAGCAGGGATGGGTTGGGAAACTATAGCAGTATTCCAGGGGGACGTCAGGTGGCTTAGACAAGGAGGGGGCAGTGGAGTCAGAGACATAACTAGACCGTTTTGGAAGTAGAAATGACAGAACTTACTTGCCAACAAACTGGATGTACATGCAAAGAGGGAGAATTAAGGACGATGCCTATGTGTCTGAGTTAAGCAACTGGGGCCACTTACTATAGTGAGAAGGAGCAGGAAGGAACAGGGAATGAAGCTGGGATGCTGAGGGTAAGAGAGAGACAAAGAGAAAGAGAATACATGTGAACATTCAACTTTTAGAGTTAAGTACAATATACCCATCTGCATCCACGTGGAAACAGCAAGCAGCAGCTGGATACACGTGTCTGAAATGGGAAGTAGGCTGGGAGTCATTAGGATACGCACGGTGTTGAAAGCCCTAACATTTTGAGGAACAAGAACTCTGAGACTCCCCAGCATTCAGACTGGAAAGAGAAAGACAAGACTAGAGACAGGACTAGACGCAGTGGCAGAATCAGAGTGTACAGACAAAGGCAAGTGGCTAAAGAGACAAAGAAGGAGCAGTTAGTAAGGTAGAAGGAAAACCAGGCAGAGGTATCACAGAAGCCAAGAGAGGGAAGTGTTCCACAAAGTGGTGAACTACAGACAGTGCTGAGGGTGGAGCAGGTGGCAGAGTGT